GGCTCCGAACTCTGTTTTGCTAGTCTTCTGGTGGTTTTCTGGGTTATTTAGGCAGGTGTAGGTGGAATCTAAGTGATCAGCAGGATGGGCGGTGAGCTCAGCGTCCTCCTACGCTGCCATCTTCCCAGGATTGGTTCCTGACTGTCCTCCTTTTTTTAGTTTTTCAAATAGCTTGTTAGAAGGTATGAACTGCCCTGCGGAGGTCACGCTGCCTCCTCAGCCATGGCCTGGCTGCGGGTCGCCCAGTGACCTACGGCCCAAGGACCGCAGGTGAGGTGCCACCATCTTCCCAGGATCCTATATATAATATACCAATGATATCCTTTGAAGCACAAACATTTCTAATTTTGATCAAGTCCAATTTTTCTATTTCTCTCCCCTCCCCCTAACCCTTGTCCTGTGCTTTTGGTGTGTTAGCTAGGAAGGCTTTGCCTAAACAAAGATCATGAGGATTTACTTGTACATTTTCTTCTAGGATGTTGGTAGTTTTAGTTTTGATATTTAGGTTTGTGACTCATCTTAAGTTAATTTTTGTGTATGGCGTGTTGAAGGGTCCAACTTCTGTCTTTGCACATGGGTATTCAGTGGTCCCAGTACCATTTGTTGAAAAGACTATTATATTCTCATTGAATGATCTCACAAGCCTTATTGAAAATCAGTTGACCATGAACATACAAGTTTATTTCTGGACTCTCAATTCTGCATCCAACTATTTGTCTGCCTTTATGTCAATACAACTTTGTTTTGATTACTTTTCTTCGAGGTTGATTTTGAAATTGTGAAGTGTGAATGCTCCAACTTTGATTTTTTTCCATGATTGTTTTGATTCAAGGTCCCTTGAAATTCCACATGAATTTTATGATCAGCTTGTCCATTTCTTCAAGATAAAAAAAAAGCAATTTGTGTTTTGCTAGGGGTTATTTTGAATCTGTAGATGAATTTGGGGAGTATTGCCTTGTGAATCATATTAAGTCTTGAGTAATGAACACAGACATCTTCCTATTCATTTAGTTCTACTTTAATTTTTGTTAGAAATGCTTTGTAGTTTTCATTGAGCAAGGCTTGCACCTCCTTGGTTAAATTTATTCCTAAGTATTTTATAATTTTTGATGGTATTGTAAATGGAAGTATTTCTTATTCTGTTTTTGAATTGTTCTTTGCTCATGTGTACAAATACAACTATTTTTTTTTTTGTATCCTGCAACATTTCTGAATTCATTAGCTGTAATGATTTTTTTTTTTTTTTGGTGTATTCTTTAGGATTTTCTATATATAAGATCATGTCATCTGTGAATAGAGATAGTTTCACTTCTTCCTTTTTTATTTGGATCCTTTTTATGTAATTTTGTTGCCTAATTGCTATAGTCAGTCCAGCTAAAGGCTTGTCAATTTTGTTGATCTTTTCGAAGAACCAAGTCTTGGTTTTGTTGATTTTCTTTATTCTTTTCTATTCTCTGTTTCACTTATCTTATTGTGATCTTTGGTTTTTCCATCTTTCTTCTTGCTTTGTGTTTAGTTTGCTGTTCTTTTCCTAGTTACTTAAGCAGGAAAGTTATGTTTTTGATTTGAAATTTATTTTATTTTTCAATGTAGGTGTTATAGGTATAAGTTTTGAGGAATGTGTTTGCTCTATCCCATAAGTTTTGGTATGGTGTGTGTTCATTTCTATTCTTATCAAGTATTTTCTATTTGATTTTCTCTTTGACCCAAATTTTTAAAGAAGTGTGTCACTTAATTTTCACACCCTTTTAAATTTCTGGTTTTCTTTCTATTATTGAACTCTAATTTTATTCCATTGTGATTAGAGGAGATAATTTGCATGATTTCAGTCTTTTTGAATTTATTTACTCTTGTTTTGTGGGCTAACATATGACCTGTTCTGGAGAATGTTCCATGTGCCCTTAAAAAGAATGTGCATTTTGCTCTTACTGGGTTGGATGTTCTATATATATCCATTAGGTCTAGTTGGCTTATAATGTTATTCCAGTTTTCTATTTTCTTATTTATCTTATGTATAGTTGTTCTATCCATTATTGAAGTGGTTGTTGAAATCCCCAAGTATTGTTGAACTCTTTACTTCTCCCTTCAATTCTGTCAATTTTTGCTTCTTATATTTTAAGGCTCTGTTGTTTGGTGGATGTATATGCATTATTGTCATAGTTACTTGATGGACTTACCTTTTGCCATTATTTTATATCTCACATAGCTTTTTTTTTTTTTGGCCTAAAGTCTATTCTTATATTAAGTATACTAATATATATCATAGCTTTCTTTTGGTTACTATTTGCATAGATTATCTTTTCCTGTTCTTTCACTTTCAATTTACTTGTGTTTTTGCTTTTAAAAACCAATTTCTGCCTGCTAGTCTAGTTAAAGTCATTACTGATAAGGAAGGACTTCTGCCATTTTTCTAGTTGTCTTCTACATATCTTATATCTTTTGTATGCCTGGATTTCTCAATTCTGTGTGTTACATAAATATTTTAGAGTATACTGCTTTGATTCTCTTCTTTTTTTTTTCCTTCTTCTTCTATTGTATATTTTTTTGTTTATTTTTGTAGTTTTTCCCTGGGGATTACATTTAACACCTTAATTTATAATAATTTGGTTTGAATTAATATCAGTTTAGTTTCAATAATATTAAAAATACTTTGCTTTTTTATAGCTTCATTCCCCTTATCTTGTTATTGTCACAAATTACATCTTTATGTCAGTCCCTCAACATAAATGTAGAATTTTGTTTGGTAGTTTTACTTTAAATCATATAGAAAAAAGGTATTTACTAAAATATATAATTGCCTTTTTATAAAAGTAAAAAATTAAGTCTGTTGTAGTTACCATACATACATACATAATGTTACATTAATTTCAGATGTACAATACAGTGATTCAGCAATTCCATATATTACTCAGTGCTCATCACAATAAGTGTACTCTTAATCTCCTTCACCTATTTTACCTGTCCTTCACCCACCTCCCCTCTGGTAACCATCAGTTTATTTTCTCTGGTTAAGAGTCTGTTTTTTTTGTTTATCTCTCTTTTTTTCCCCCTTTGATTTGTTTCTTAAAATCTACATATTATTGAAATCACATGGTATATATCTTTTTTCTGACTGGATTATTTCACTTAGCATTATACTCTCTAGATCCATCCATGTTGCAGCAAATGGAAAGATTTCATTAATTTTTATGGCTGAGTGATATTCCATTGTATATTTATACCATATCTTCTTTATCCATTCATTTATCCATGGACACTCTGATATGTCCATAATTTGTCTATTATAAATAAAGCTTCAGTAAACATAGGGGTGCATATATTTTTTTGAATTAGTTTTTTCATATTCATTGGGTAAATACCCAGTAGTGGAATTACTGGATCATATAGTAATTCCATTTTTGATTTTTAGAGAAACCTTCATACTGTTTTCCACAGCGGCTACATCCGTTTGTGTTCTCACCAACAGTGCATGAGGGTTCCTTTTTCTACACATCCTCACCAATACTTGTTTCTTGGGTTTTTGATTTTAGTCATTCTAACAGGTGTAAGGTGGTATCTCATGTGGTTTTGACTTGCATTTCCCTGGTGATTAGTGATGTTGAACATTATTGTCTTTATATTTACCTATGTTGTAAACTTATTTGTGTCCTTCCTTCCTTCCTTCCTTCCTTCCTTCCTTCCTTCCTTCCCTCCTTTCTTTTTCTCTTTCTTTCTTTCTTTCTTTCTTTCTTTCTTTCTTTCTTTCTTTCCTTTTTCTTCCTCCCTTCCCTCCCTTCCCTCCCTTCCCTCC